AGGTGTTTGAGTTTGTGTTGAAGCGCAATGAAGAGAAAGCAGCAAGAAGGAAGAAGCTTTGGTAATCTCTCTCATTCTGAGAAGAGGCATTCTTTTTACGGAATTCATCTCAAAGCGCCGCCGTGTGCTTGCGAGGCGAGCTAGAGAGAATATATTTATTTTATAATATATAAATTATCCACGAAGCAGACTCAGTTTTTTCTTATATCAAGGATAGATTAGTCTGTATAGGTGGGGGGAAAACAAAAAAACGAAAAGAAAGAATCAAAAGGTTTGGAGCAAATACTTTTCGAGTAAATATTGGTTACTTTTTGTTATTGTTTGTGTCGGGTTGTTTTGTTTCTTGCTCAAAAACGTAGTAGTAATAGATACCCCAAAAATCCATACACGATCTCAGTCAATGTCGTTGTTATCACAAGATTTCTATGATAATGTTGTGTCGGAAAGTATAATAAAGTTATATCTATCTCTAAGATTTCAAAAGTCGTTAGCATACAGCATTCCTTTACAGATCTGCCCATCACCCTAAATCCTATTGTTTTTAAGTCCCTTCCAAATTATATCCATTTTCTAGTTTTACCCGTTATTTCCCCAACACCACATAATATAATTCGATGCCTTCATAATACGACAAGACAAAAACATTATTAACAACTTATTATAGTCTAATAATAAAATTTGGTGTGCGTCCATTATTAACAACCACGGTTTGCTATTGGTCACGTAGACTTTTTGATTTTCACTTTTTCGATAACATGAAAAGACAAAACCAACTTTCTCTTCCAATCCAATTAGAGAGACTCACTCACCACTTTTGCTTATGTCATTCACTACGCACTTCCAAATATCACATTCTTTCTTTCATTTATGTTTTTTTTTTTTCTCTCTTCTTCACATTAACATAATCATAATTGATTTGTTTACAATATCTGAATTTTAATCTGTGACTTATGCCTATGTTCTTATTAAATCAATAACCAACCAAAAGAATTGGGAGAAAATAACCAACCTTTCAAAGCTTAGAGATACAGTCAAAGTCAAACTTATGCCTCCAAATCCTCCTTATATAATAAAACCCTTACCCTCCCAACGCTTAAAGCAGCTTCCTTCACAAACTCAAACCACAATTTCAAATTTCAAAAATTCCTTTAGAGCAGAGAGCAGAGATGTGTCCTTCTGGGAGGATTACGAGTTCCATCATCATCACCTCCGCGAATCCAGATTTCCGTCCGGCCTTCGAGGTCATCGACGCCGATCGCGACGGTAAAATCAGCCGCGAAGATCTCCGGGCATTCTACGCCGGGATCCCGAGA